AATAAAAATTCAAAAATTTGAATACGATTGTAAATATGGGATAAAATGAAATATCTGTGATTATTTATTTAAATATAATTACATAATACTTCAAATTCTAGAATTTATTATTTGTCACAATAATTCAAAAAAATTATTTTAGAATAATGACGATATTGCCTAATTGAATTTTTCTAGTCTATACCAATCCTCAATGAAAAAAATTATTGATGAAAATGTTATTTATTGAAATATATATTATAGAATATTATAGTCTAAATATCATTTAAATCAGTACAATAATATTTGTTAAAAATATAAAAATATAAAATATATTTTATATATTATATTATAAATATCTTAAAAATTAAAACTGAAACATGTATACATAATATACAAACATATACAAGACAAAAAAATTGTTAAAATAATAACTTTGATAATATATTTCAAACTTATCAAAATCAGTAATATAATAATATAAGTAATTACATACAAACATTACATTATATTACATTAAAATTGTTTTATAATATTGTTTTATAATAATGAATATTAAAAAATATAATTATTATTAGATCTTTATAAATTAAAATTTTTTTTATAAATATTCAAATACATATACGTAGATAGATATTCAAAATACATACGTATATATACATATATATAAATTAAAATATAAATTATTAAATTTATATAATTTGCATATTATATACAAAATATTAATATATTGATATAAATAGAATATTGATATATCATTTCATTATATATATAAATATTTAAAATGATTATTTGATCTATAATTGTTATTAATTTAAAAAATTTATTCTTACATTTGTAAACATATATATTTCTTTAATTAAATCTAGATTTAAATATACTAAAATTCTAAAAATTACATATTTTTTCATAAATATCACTAAAAATCAAAAATATTTTTTTTTATTAATAAAAAAATTTATTAAAATTTATTAAAAAAAAATATTTATATTAAAGAATTTTTTTTCACAAGAAAGAATAAATTATGTAATTATTACATAAATATGTTTAGAATCAATAAAATAAAATATTCTGAAAACTGAAAATAAAAGTTAAAAAAAAATTTATAATAAAAAAAAATTAATATATAATAAAATTATATATATAATAAATAATAATATATTAATGAAATAAATATAATTATTACAATAAAAAATACAATAAAAATTACAATAAAACATTTCATAATTAATAATTTTTAAAATATTAAATATTTATATATATTGAATAATCTACAAAATCAAAATATTTTATCTGAATTATTTTAGTAAATTTCATGTACACAAAATAATACACATATAAAAACAAATGCGTAAAATGAATAGAAGCATATTCAGATAAAAAAAGAATAGATTAAAATTAAAATATTACTTAATGAATGATAAGTTATTGAGAAATTATATAGAATTTTACATAAATCAATATAAAAATCTAAATATTAGATTCAATTTTATAAATATAAAATATAAATTATTATTTTCTTTATTTTATTACAATCAATTTTATTTTCTACTTTTCAAACTAATATAAAAAAATATTACAACTATATATAAATATATTAAAAAAAATATAATGTAAAAAATATAAAAGTAAAATGACAACTTAGTAATTTATTAAATTTACATGAAATTAATTAGAATAGAAGTAATATAAGTAGTTATTTATTAAATTTACATGAAATTAATTAGAATAGAAATTTATTTCATTATCTTTCACAAAAAAGAATTTATTATATTATTTGAAAATTATATATTTTAAATCTTATATTTTATAAAATCTTTTATATCTTATAAATATTATATATGTAAAATGATTATTTAAACATTCTTTTTCTTTTTATTTTAATTACAAATATACAATATATAAAAATATAAATATATAATATATCATAAAAATAAAATATAAATAATTAAAAAAAAATAATAAAAATTTCAGTTTTCAGAAGAATATATAACTGAGGAAAGAATGATAGAAAAATGATATATAAAAAAAAAAAAATGATGCAACTAAAATTAATAGATAGACACAAAATATAATTGAAATTAAATATAATGCAATATTTCAATAAAACGTTAATAAAAATTATATAAATTGCAAAATATTTTAAAAAGATGGTACAATTGAAATATACTATCATATTTTTTTTCAAAGATGTCGTTATCAGAATATGTTAATGCGACAAATAATATTCATAGAAATTTTTTATTCTTAAAAAAAAAAAATTTATAAAAATTAGTAATAAAATTATTACTAGTTTTAATTATTATTAGTATTAAAATTATTAATAAAATTGATATTAATACCTCGAATATTAATAACTCATATTTTGGAAAATGTTTTAATAAAAACTCTATGAATTTAATTTAATATTATGAATTTTAGAAGAAATAATAAGAAAACTAAAACAAAGCTAAATTATAAAACATTTTATCTAAAACAAGATTAAAATAACAATTTTATAATAATTTAATATATATTTATTACATTTGCAGAGATCTGTTTCAAAAAATCATATTCTTATTATTGATAATGACATGAAATCAAATAACATTCAATAAAAAAAATCAAAAAAGATAACTTTGTTGAAGATTTTCAATTAAACTTTGAAAATTTTTTAAAAAATGAAAATTTAAATAATAAAAATAAAAAATAATAGAATTAATAAAAATATAATAAAAATGTATAGTAAAATATATAAAAATCCAATGAAAACAAAAGTTAAAAATATTAATAGTGAAATTAAAAGTGTTCAAAATTATAAAGATAAAAAAATCATAGATAATAATGATTGTTTTTTAGAAATAGTTATTTTATATTTTATTAAGAGATTTAATTAAATTTAATTAATATATATAAGTTTTTTTAAGTTTGATATTTCAAATCAATTTTTTAATAAAAATATCTTATTACAAATTAATAAAAATTAATTTATAAAAACAAAAAAATATCATGTAATGTTCTTTAGAATTTTAACAAATAAAGAAGATAATGGTATTATAATAAATAAAAAACAAAAAAACATCTGTACTATGTACAAATATAAAGCATAACATTTTTAGAAATATTATGAAATTACATCAAATAATGATTAATGAAATATTTAAAAATGATTCTTTATATTTAAATGCTAAGTTGATTACTATATAATAGATTCTTTATTCATTATATCATTATTTCTCATTCAAAAATATAAAAAAAATAACAGTCTTTGTTAATCGAAAATTTTTATTTTCATTTAAAATACATTTAATTACACAATTAAATAAGAAATTTTCTAATACTTCTAAGAAAATATTGATAGAATTATCATTCTCTTATGAATAAATCCAAAATTGGTATAATTTGAAATGAATATTGATTATAGAATCTATAAATTTTATTTTGTATTTTAATTCTATTTTTATTTTCTATTAATTTTACTTATTTTAATATATAAATATTCTAATATCCATATATGCATATTTTATATAATTTTTATTTTATTTTAAATAATTATCATTTCAAAAAATTATTATCTACACAATTAAATTTCAAATGCAATACAAATCAGAAATTACAAATCACAAAATATTTTATATATTTTTAAAAGTATCTAAAAGTAATATTACTTTTCCTATTTAAAAAATTAGTTTTTGTAAGAATTTTAATATACTTAACATATTATATTTAAGATTATAATATTATATAATAATAATTATATTTAAGATTATTATATTTCAAAAACAATATAAATATAAGTTAATTTATTTTTAAATTCAATTTAACATCATTAATATCATAATATACATATATATGTATATGTACATTAATTTAATTTATTTTGGTAATATATATTACATTTTTTATTTTAAAAATTATTGTATAAATAGTGTATCATTTTCAAAAGAAAAATTTTCTGCATTATTTTTTTTTCAATCAATATTGACATTATTTTAATCTAAACATTCTAATTTTCTTAATCTATCTTTACTAACTTTGAATATATTTTTATTTATATTATAAATAAGAATTTTTAATATTGTTAATAAAAGTATTTTTTAAATAAATTAAAAATCAAAATGTAATAGTTTTTGTATCATTAACTGAATCTATAATAATTTGTTGCTATTAGTTAATCTAAAGTTTTGAATGAATATAATTTGATTGTAAGAATTTACTATTTTCTTAAGATTATATACTAGAAAATTAATTTATTAACAAATTAATAAAAGAAAAATCCTCTATATATAATTTATAAATGTTATAATTAATAACATTTATATTAAAAAATTAATTATTAACATTAAAATTATATTAAAAATTAATATAAAAAAGATTAAGAAATAATAAATAATATAATATATTATTTTAACATATTATTTTAATTAATGAAAATTATATTATAATGGAAAGCATTAAAAAAATTTTAATTCTTTGCGTGTTTTATAATAAAGCTATTTTATTTAGTTCATAACATGTAATTTATATGATGTTGTAAATATAATACTTTCAACCAATAAAATATACGTATTGAATCCATTGAAACAATCAAACTCTTGAATTCATATAAGTATAAATAATACTTTGTTATAATAATACTAAAATTCAATTGTTATATATTATAGTATATATCATTTCATAATTCATAATTCATTTAATTTATTTTGTAATTCTACAATTATATAATTCTATAACAATTTTTATATTGTTAAAATAATTTAACTATTTTAAAAATAAAATTCAAAATAATAATTAACAGAAAAAATATAGATGTCTCAAAAATGTGGAAATATCCGTTAATTGGAGATTCCTGAAGTAATTTCAAATATTTTCCTTTGTAAAAATTTTCGTTATTGCTTTGTTAATGAGTTATTAACAATAAATATTGATCAATCACGGAACATATAACTCGACGATTGACCATGCTTCGACCTAGTCGGCCGAGCACAACAAGTCCAAGCAATATATATTGAAAAAATGCGTTGAATATTATCATTTATTCATTTATTGATTGTCATAGAATTCGATATAATTTTCTATTGATAAAAAAATATTTGTTATATTTTATTAATTATATCAATAATGTCATAATTAATATGTTATATTTATTTATCATATTTGTTATATTTTAATATACTTTTTGATATATGTTGCTTAGATTGGCGATATAAAATCAACGTTATCACAATTTGATTAAGCTTCGTGATTGGTCAGTATTTTTGTTAATAATTTTTTTTTAATTTAAAAAAATTATAATGAAAGTTTTTTTAAACGAAAATGTTACTTAAAATTATCTCAAGAATGTTCAATTAACGCATGTTCTCATATTTTTGAAATATCCTATATAATAAAGAACACATTTGAAAAAACATATTAACAATTTTTTATATAATAATAAAAATAATTTTTAGTGTAATTATATTAAATAAATATATAATTATAAAAAACATCTTATTCCAAATAAATATAAAAACTGTAAAATTTTTTATTTTATTTATAAAATATATATTTATTTTTATAAAAATTTTTTTTAACAATTATTTTTTAATTATTTTTATTTATAATTAATATATTTAATAAATTATATTTATTTATTAATTATATTTATTTTTTAATTTTTTTATTTTTATTATATAAGAATAAAGTTAATTTTTATGTAATAATATTTAAATAAATTATTTAATTTTATTCAAATTGAAATATTTTTTTATAATTAAATATTATATTGACTAGAAATGCGATAAATTTAAATATCACAAAATTGCATATAATCGATAATTTATATTTTACGTCGTTGAAGAACTTGCGTAATACCTGTTGAATTCTTCTCTGAATCTTATAGAGATTGCGCAGGTATAGTATCAATTTTATGTATCACGATTAATTAAAGAAAAATATATATATAAACAAAAATTATATAAAAAATTATTTTTTTTTTCTTTTTTATACATTAATATGTCTTTCAACTTTTTCAATTTAATAATATTAAATATTTCAATAAATATAATTTGGCGCATAAAATCATATTAATCATATTAGTAATAGCAACTTAATACTTGTTGATTTATGGAAGCTATTTTTTGAAATATTATTGCAAAATATGTTATTACAAATTATAATACATCAGTTTCGTAATTTAGATACGATCTAATATAAATAAAAAAAACTGTGTAAAACAAAAATTATTAATATTATGTATTATAATTTAGTTTAAATTATATATATTTAATAGTATAAAATATATTTATAAATCATATTTAGATTAAATTAGAAAAATATATATTAGATAAAAAAGTAAAGAATTGTTACCATATGTTAACGAAATAAGTTTATCTTATATATGTAAATATAATATTATAGATCAAAATGTAATATATTTTTAAAATAAATTTATAAAGTACAATTAAAAAAAAAATTTTATATATTAAAATATTGTAAAATATTGTAAAATTTTTTAATCTATGATAGAATAATAGATAAAAATTATTTTTTATATTAATAAAAATTAATAAAAATTTAATAAAATAAAATAATAGTGATAATAATAATGAAAATAATAATAATGATAAAAATTAAATAAAATATTGTTATATAATATTATTAAAAAACGAAAAAAAGATTTATATATATATTGATCAATAATTTAAAAATGAATAGTATTAATAAATTTGAGCAAAATAATACAATAGAAAATTTAATGCTTCATAAAATAAAGAATAAATTTTTTAATTAAATTATGTCAACTAATTATCCATATCAATATCAGATATGTTTGGGTATGTCTTTGATTTATCTTCAAAATTTATTTTACATGTATTTAATATTATATTTAATCAATTTTGTAGAATTTTGTTTATTAATTTTTACAATAATATTTTAGAATATTAATTAAATATCATTAATTTTATTTTTAGATATGGAGCAAATTGAAGAGAGATCATCTGAAAATCTTGAGGGATTTAAACCATTAACTATTCTAATGCAAATCATTGGAGCAACATTGATAATTCTAGTTATAATTTGGTGTAGCAATTATAGAGGTGGTTTCGCTTGGAATTCTAATCCAGAATTAGAATTTAATTGGCATCCTCTTTTAATGGTTATAGGATTTGTTTTTCTATATGCTAATGGTATTTTTAACAATTCAATAATTTGAAAAGTTGACAAAAAGCTGAATTAATTTTTTTAATTAATTAATTATTTTTACTTTTTTTTTTAGGAATGTTAATATATAGAACACAAAGAAATGCACGAAAACAAAAACTGAAATTAATTCATGCTAGTATAATGTTATTAACTATTGTATTAGTTGTAATTTCACTTGTAGCTGTGTTTGATAGTCATAATTTAAATCTAAAACCTATTCCAAATATGTATAGTCTTCATAGTTGGATTGGACTTACTAGTATAATTTTATTTTGCTGCCAGGTATTTTTAATCATTTTTTTTTATCTATATATACATATTTAATTTAATAATTCTAATTTTATTTTTTTTTTATTTAATTTATTTATATATTAATATTTTTTGAAGGTATAAAAAATACTACTTAAGAAATGAAATATTTAAATTTTTATATTTTAGTGGCTTGCTGGATTTCTTTGTTTTTTATATCCAAAATTACAAATTTCATTACGAACTTCTTACATGCCTATTCATGTATACTTTGGAATCGCAGGATTCATTGGTGTAATTACTTCTTGTCTTTTAGGACTTAATGAAAAAGCAATTTTTGCTTTAAAGTAAGTATATATTTTGATTGTATTATATCAATTATTATCAATATTTTGTAATAAAATTATATATATAAATAATATATTAATCATAAATTTCATTTATTATAACATCATAATATGCAATTTCAGAGAAAACTATTCCAAGCTTGTAGATGAAGCAATATTAATTAATGTAATTGGATTTTTATTAATTCTTTTTGGTGGATTATCAGTTTATTTGGTAACACAAGAACGTTATAAACGTTTTCCTAAATTAGAAGATGAGGTATTAGTTAGTAATAGAACTCAATAAGTAATTATATTATATAATAAATTTTTTTTCTATTAAATATAAGTAAAATTTTAATTCTATTCTTATGTAAGTTATATAAAACATACAATTTCATTAATATCAAAACATTCATTTGTTTATGTAATTTTAATTAGAAACTTTTATATTTTTTATTTAAAATAATAATATTACTTGTTTACTTTTGAATTAAGAAATTAGTATGAGGAAATTTATTCTTTCTTATGTTGAATTATTTATTATATATTTTTATTTTTATTTCTTATGTTGAATTATATTTAATTATTATATTAAATACTTAAATTATTTAAGTATTTAAATAATAAAAAAATTATTTTTAAATTTTTTATATAATTTTGATCTGATTAATGATCTGTATTTAATTTTTATTTGCAAATATATACAATTAACAAAGTTTAAATTTGATACTATATGAATTTTAAATTTATATCCTTTCATCTATATGATTTCATTAATTGTAATTTTATTTACATTAAATTTTATTTAAAAAAAATAGAAAACATTAGCAAGGATTATTTTTTTAGACTTACTAATTTCTTTAATAATGTTTACAACAATTTAAAAAATTGTTGAATTTAATTTTATGAAATATAATATGTATATATTTTCTGTATATGTATATATATAATATACTATAGTACTTAAAAAAATTGTATTTGAAATGATATGATAATGGTATTAAATATATTGTATTAATATATTATATATTATAACATTATTATATATTAAATAAATATATTAAATATATATTATATACATTATATATTAAATTAAAATATTATATCTAAAATCTAATATATATTAGAATAATATATAATATATGTATACATTTATGAATATTGAATTTATATTTATTTGTAAACATTTATTATGATTACTCATAAAAATGTATTTATTCTGAAAAATATATGCAGCAAATTATGAATCTTGCAAACATATTCATTTATACTTTATTTCCTAATTTATTAATTTAATTAAAAAAATAAAGAAGAATATTATAATATATAAGACTATATAATACTATATTGTCCTTTAAAAATATTAAAATGACAAAGTAATATCTACTAATATCTATTAATAATAAGTATTTAATATTTCTTATATTATTGTTATTTTATTGCATTTTTATTAAAAGTATAATGTAAAAATTAAATATTAAAAGAATTTATTTTAATGCAAAAAAATTTTAAATATTCCCGCTTTTTTCTTTGAACAAAGTTGTGCGCAGTAAAACTTTGTCCAGATTTCATATTTTTAGGTTGCATATCCATATTGCATATGTTATTATATATATGTAAGTAATATCACGTTGCGCGTAGTATTAAAATCACACTGGAGGACTAGCGTCCTCAAGCGTCACTTTTGACGAACATTGCACATTCAATGGTTAACCAAATTCCTGTGCCACAGGCAAAATATGAATTGTTAACAGACGTTCGACAGTGAGTTATATTTTTTTTCTTCATTATCTTTTAATTGTACTATATTAAATACATATATGAAAATTATTAATAATCATTAATAACTTTTATAAAAATAGTTTAATTTTCATTTATTTATTTCTTTTTTAAATATATTTTTTAATATATTTTTTAATATATACAAAACATTTACTAATATTATATTATATTTATGATTTAAGATTAAAACTTTTTGTTTTGTTTTTTTAAAAAATATATAAATAAATATTTTTAATAGAAATTAAAAATAAATCGTTTTAAATATAATAATTATTTTTTTATTATTGAAAGCACTTTTTAAATATCTTATAAAATTGATCTTGATAAAATTTATTTACTATAATAATATAATATTATAATATATTATAAAATGAAATAATTTTTACATTTACAATTTTACAAAGAATATATATATATATATCAATATAAATAAATAAATTTATATAAATATGATTGATAATAATATACTATATAATAATAATAAAATTATATTTATAAACTTTTAATCTATTTAATAATTCTATAATTTTTTATTTGAAATATAATTTTGACTAAAAAAAATATTTATAAAAATTATTATATTATATTTAATTTTATATTATATTATATATAAATTATTTTTAGAAATTTAAATTTTATCTATTATATGAATATAACAATTAAATTCTTATTTATTAATTGCTATTTTAATTTTCATATTTACTTGAATTATATGAAAAATATAATTAGATATTTTTATTATTATTATTATGTTTTTATAAAATTAAATATTTGTATATATATAAAAATATACAAAAAATATTATTTGATTATTTTTGTTTAAATGTTATAGTTCTATTTACTTTTATATTTATATTATTTTTATATTTTAATTTTTCTTATATATATATTCTTATATATATATTCTTCTTATTATATATATATATTATATATATATTTCTTATATATTCTTATATAAATTTTACAATTTTTTATTTATTTCTTATTATTTCATTTTATTATAATAAGCTGTATGTATAAGCATACATAAATATATGTCAGAAGTTACAGGTATAGTTATTGATTATTCTATATTTACTGATATAAGAAATTAAACGGAGTATATAATATATATAAAATAAATACAAATTAATATTTTATATAGCCTTTATTATATAAAATTTATGTCCATCATTTTATTCTAAACTATTAATTGAATTCATTCTTTTATAATTATTTTTATATTGCAATATAATTATGAATTCATTATACTATGAAATATAATATAATTAAAATTTAACAGTAATTCAAAATCATTTAAAATCTTATATGAATTTTTCTTTTTTATTTTAGATCACGTTGGAAAACACAAGTTTTATGCTTAGTATTGGTATCTCTGATACTTGGAATTCTTTTTGTAATACGTGCATGGTTAGGTATTATTATCCTTCAGTCTTCAAGAACTGAAACATTTAATACAGAAACAACAGATAATGCCAAGGTTGCTACGTGGTTACGTCGGGCTCGGATGTACGCCGAATCGACGAAGGAGAACCAGAATGCGGACAGGAACAACAGCATCAGTTCGCTACAGCACTTCTACACCAATTCCTCAGGGTAAAAATATTATTTTTGAAATATATTCCAACAAAAAAAGTTACAAATATTATTATATTATTACCAAGAATTACTAAAAAGTAATATTATAGATAATAAAAGTTGTTTTTTTCATAGGCAGATCATTGTCTGTTATTACACCATATCGAGCGACCTGAACACGCTCTGGGAGCTCAGTCCGTCGAACATTGACCCTAATCTTTGTACGCATATTATCGTGGGTTTTGCGGGCGTGGTAAATTGTAGTCTCAATTTGGGTAATAATTCATCAATTTATAAAGAAGTTATTGCTTTGAAAAAGTTTCAACCTGAATTAAGGGTCATGATTAGCGTTGGCGGCAATAATGAGCTCCACTTAGGTTTTTCAGAAATGGTAAAAAATCATGCAAATAGAAAAAGGTAATTTTTTTTATTTTATTTTAATTATTTAGATATAAAATGAATTCAAAATGTTAATTTTATTTTATAGATTTATAAAATCAGTTTTAAATGTAACAAGAACATTTGGTTTTGATGGATTAGACATAGATTGGGAATTTCCTGCATGGCTTGGAGCTGATGAACGAGAAAAAATTCGTTTTATACAATTATTAGAGGAATTACGAAAAGAATTTTACCGAGCAAAAGAAACATTAATTCTTTCTGTTGCAGTAGCTGCTCCACAAGCTATTATTGACCAAAGCTATATGGTTATAGAAATGGCAAAGTAATTAAATGATATATTATTTTTTATGATATGAATATACTACATAATTAGTTTTCAATAAATTAATAATTAATTTTTAATTATTAACAATTATAATTAATAAGATATTTTAAAAAATATTTTCATTTTTCTATTAGTAATAATACAATTATTTTGCTCATTTTCTATTGTGTATAATAGAAAATATAAGAAAAATAATTTATATATTTATTTATAAATTTTTATTATTTAGGTACATAGATTTTGTGAATTTGATGTCATATGATTACCATTTTTATGTATGGTATTATCCAATTACCGGACTTAATGCGCCTCTTTTCTCACGTGCTGCTGAATCTGGTTATCTTTCTACTCTAAATGTTAATTTTTCGGTTCATTATTGGCTTTCAAAAGGGATGCCAGGAGAAAAATTAATTATTGGAATTCCTACTTATGGCCATACTTATAGGTTAGATAATTCGCTGAATCATGGTTTACTCGCACCAGCAAATGGCTTCGGTAAATTAGGAAATATGGGTTTTGTTTCTTATCCTACAGTTTGTGAATTTCTTCAAAATGGTGCAGAAAGTGTTTTTGAATTTGAAAGCAAAGTTCCTTATGCTTATAAAGATAAGGAATGGATTTCTTATGATGACGTTACAAGCATCTCTTATAAGGTATGAATATTCGTGGAATATATATTCTTATAGAATCCATTTTAGAGATTAAAACAAACACAAAAATGACATAGTGTCTAGTATATAATTGAAGTTTATTTATTAAATTATAATCAATTAAAGTTTGCACTAAATGAAGCGAAAAATAGAATGATACAATTAAGAATGAGATATTATCTTCTCATTTTATTTTGTTTCATCTAATACAAATTTAAATTATTTATAACTTAATAAGCCTTAATCGATATTTTTAATAACTATATTTATAATAATTTTTGTATTTGATTTTTTCCCAACTATATTCTAGCATTTATTTTTTAAATGTATTTCATAATATCTATATTATTTTATATTAAAAGTTTTAATAATTAATAGGGATTCTAATTAAATTTAAAGAGTTAAATATTATAAAATTGAAATAATAAAGAAATTATGAAATATTCTAATAAATTATATTTTGTTTTAGGCTAAATGGATTCGAGCAAATAATTTTGGTGGTGCAATGATATTGTCTTTAAATGTTGATGATTGGAATAATACATGTAAATTTAATGAAAGCTTTCCTTTAACTCGTACTATTATGAAAATCCTCAGGTATCAAGAAAATTAATGCATTTCTAAAAAACTTTTTTGTTATAATTTACATTCCTCATAGAAATATTGCATTCCTAAAATATTATTATTATTTATAAATTAATTATTATTAATTTTTAATTAAAATATTTAATCTTTCAAAATTATTATTAGTCCTAAAAATATTATTTGATATAGTATCGCAATATTACTTAATTTGATGAAAACACAAAAATAATTTTAAATTTACACATATAATTTTTCTTCTCTTTCAAAAGAATATTTTTCATTATATAAAAATTTACATTTGCAATTATTTGCATTTAATAAAAATGCAATTATAATTTTAATTTAAAAATTAAATATTGAAATTATATATTTTTTTTCTTATTATTAGAATATAACTTATAGTCATATAATATATGAAAAAAATATTATTAAAATATATATATTAAAATATGAAAAAAATATATGAAAAAAAATTAGAGATTAATAGTGGAAAATTTATTAATAATATATGTATATTGACTTTGAATGAAAATTCTTGTAATATAAATCTAATGATAAAGATAGAAATTAATTTATTTGTAATATAAATATTTGTTAGAAATCTTTATGCGCAAATATTTATAGTATTTGATTAAATCACTTAAATGTACACGTTTTTGAAAAATTCTATAAGTATATGCAAACGCTTTATTATGCATTTCAATAAAATGTTTTGAATAAAAATTAATTATCAATCGCTTATATATTTGAATATTAAAGATTTATAAATAATATTTTTTTTTGATATAATTATAGTTTTTTATTTTAAAGAATTGTAGCTAATACAGAAACAAGTTCAATAATTTTCAAATAACTTTTAATTTAAGAACGTTAAATTTATTTAATAAAAAATAAAATATTAAATGTTATTATTAAAAAATAAAGAATCATAAAATTTGAGACATTTTAAAGAAAATCAATGATAATTTTTAAAAATATCTAATAATCAATATATATATATATAATAATAATCAATATATATATAGTTGATCTATAATCGATATTTATTCAAAACATTTTTTTGTTAGAATTTTTGAAAAATAATGAATATTGAATATTTATATAGGCATACATTCTGTATATTTGCATATAAATATTGGACTATCCTTAGAGCTTATAGTTTTCCTATTTCATTCTTATCTTTACTATTCTGACCAACACATTTAGAACAATGTTCCTATTTTATAAATATGCAACTTACTTATCATATCCTTTTTTTAAATAATTACTTCATTACATAATAGCTATGTAATTTTATTAATTATAGGCATTTAAGTTGCAATTATTTTATTAGTCATATTAGTCATATTATTAGATTATTATTAGATTATTAGTCATATATCATAAAATTAGTATTCATCCTATCTCCCATTATTTTTAAAGTTTATTGTTGCTAATATATTTCTTATTCAAATATTTTCATTAATTTTTCTATGATACAAAATTATATATATAAAATTATATGTATCATAAGAAACAAAACATGTTTTCACATTTAATCTTGTATAAAGTATTATTAAATATATTTTATTAATTATAAATAGCAACAATTATTTTTATTATTTTAATAATAATTATTTTATTTTTATTTTATTTATTTATAGTTTAATATGCAATTTATAATTGATATGTATTATTTTTATAAAAGTTAATAAATGCTAATCTAAAAATTTATATAAAAAATAAATAAAATTAAAACAAGTTAAATGTTAAATGATATTTATGAAAATAAATAAATAATAAATAGCATAGTAATAAATTAGTTTACAAAAGATTTGAATTTTTTAAATTTTTTTAATAATTAGAATTTCAGAATTTAATATTAGAATAATTTCAAGGAATAAAAATTTTGGGATTAATATTATAATTAATTCAACATTAGTTCTTAAATAACTAAATTAATATTCTGATATTATTGAATTTGCCGTAATTTTTTTTATATTATTTTTTCTATATAATTAATATTATCATTACCATTATATAATGAATATTATAATCATTTTAAAAAAACTTGCTTTAATGGCATTTAAAAAAAATTTGTTTTTAAATTTAGAAATCAAAAATCTACATGTGATAGATATCATGAAATATATAATTTAATATATATAATTATTAAAAATAATTATTCTATTTAAGAAATGCACTATAATGATAATTTAATTAATTAATTAATTTTTAAAATATTTTTTATTAAATAATTTTGAGATAATTATATTACAATTTAATTTCTTAAATTAAAATTTTCAATATTTTTTAAAAGTTTTAAGTTAAAAATTAAAAAAAATTATAGATATTTTTCTATTATATATTTAAAAATATAATTTTTTTTTAAGAAATTTGTTTTCAATTTCAATTTGAAAAACATAATTTAAGTAATATTGATTATTTTTAAAATTCATGTATCATTTTTTTGCTAATTAATTTGTTTAAATTTATTAGTTTAGTTTCACTATCGAATTATATAATCGAATATCTAAATAAAATGTATTATATTATTATAAATTTAAAAAATAACTTTGCATATACTTAAAAACATATTTATTGTAATGAAATTAATAAATTGATTGTAGTAAAATTGCTTACCACAATGAAAATAAGAATTACCATATTATTTATTTAATGTTATAAAAAGATATTATTAAAAATTATTATATTGTTGCAATAAAACTAAGGAAAATATGATCTATTATTTAATAAAAATTATTTTATTGTAATCAAAATCAGACAAATATATAAAAAATACATGCATATAATTTGATTATAAAGAAATAAAAAGAATTTATTAATAAGTTAAATTATGAAAAGACAAAAAAGAAAAATGTTTTTAGTTTATTAAAATAAACAGTATTCTCTTAGTTTTAATGCAGTAAAGATAAAAAATTCTATAAGATAGTTTTAAATATCAAAAATTCGTCTATGTTTGAATAGAATTTTTAACTTAATTAATGTACGTAATGTTTTCATTTCATTATGCATATCTTCTGTTCATGTAATGAAAAACTTAATAAAAAGTATCATTAAATCAAGTTTCTAATTTTTTTTATGTTAGAGATTTTAATTTAAAAAAAAAATATTACTTCTATAAAGTATTATATAAATAATTATGTATTATAAAAAGATTAATTATATGTAATAATTAATATAAAATTAAAAAATTTCTTTGCACAATTCTGTAAATGCGATTACTGACACATAAGATTTGTTTTGAAGAATAAATCCTTCAATCAACAAATTATCCTACTGTTTATTAATTCATTCGTTTTATATTATAATTTCATTAATGATATCAGTATTACATTTTTTCGATATTAGAATTTTGAATCGATAAATGAATTTATGTTAATTAATTGGTTTATAAATCAATACAATAAATGTGACTAAATATACATTTGAAAATTATTGACTTTTTGAAATTATTAACAGTTTAAATCAATAGAATAAGTATTTCTCTAATTCTAAATCCTCTTTAAAATTCTATGTTAAAATTGTTCTTATTATCGTATTTTTTAACGTTTTTTTAAACGTTTTATATATATACGTATATATATATATAATATATATATTATATATAACATATATATAAACATATACATAATGATATGTATATATGTGTGTATATATATATATATAAGATCTGGTCAAATAATATATACAAATAGGCATAGAATGATTCTTTATAAAAAAAAAAAAAATAGAATAAAATTTTTTTATTCAAGTTTTCGTTTTTAACAAAATCGAATTTGAAAATTTTTTGAATAAGTGAAATTGATATAATTTCCAATTGGATTCAAATAAATTATTAATAGAAATTTTATATTGTTATATAAAAATAAGCAAAAAATAAAAATTAATTTTATAATAATCTTGTTTAAATTAGTTTTTTGAAAAAACCAATTTCTCAATTATATGGTTTTTTAATTGTACATGTTAAATTTAAAAAAAAAAAAAAGAATTTAAACAATACAATTCTATATTTTTTGCTTATTCTCACGTAAAATAGTTTTATTTCATATAGAATAACTTCCTATTAATAATTCATTCATATCCAATTGAAAATAAATTAATTTTATGTGTATTTAAAAACATTTTCAAATTTGATTTTTTTGAAGCCTTGATAAAAAATAAAAATAAATTTTTTTTTAAAAGATTTACTCTGTATTCACTTATACATGTTATTTGACTGGATATATATATATATATATATATATATATACACACACACACACACACACACACACATATATATAATATGAAATTCTAGGAAAAAAAATATTTAAGATTGCAACCTCTAATCAATACTTAAAAATAAAGAGATTGAAAATTCAAATATAAAGAGAGAATAAAGGATATAAAATATCAAAAAATGTTAATAACCATCTGCGTGTATTTAGGCGACTAGAAAAGGAATTAGGGAATAATAAGAATATGGGATGAAAAGGTCGCTACATGAAATCGTCATAATCATCGTAAACATAGTCGCCGTATTCGCTCAAAAGAGTGTTGTCACCTTCAATTTTCAATTTTGCCTTTCCCTTGCCTTTGTTCTTTTTTGCCTTTTCTGCTTTTTCGATTCTTTGCTTTTCAATCAACAAATTATCGACCAATGTTTTAACCTTCTTCAAATGTGATGAGGGTACTATAAAGATAATAAAATATAAAATTTCATAATTAAATACAAAATTATTACATCAAAAAATATAAATATATAAATATATTAAACAATAAATTGTTTTATTAAAATATATTGATTTGTTTAATATTCATTTATAATAAAAGAGCAATATTATATATTGCTATTATATATTATATTAATCATTAAAATATAATTTTTTTATATATTCAGTTTAGTTTTTTTTTTTTATACTCAATTTAGTTCTTCTTTAAATTTCCATAGCATTACAATTATATAAATGTTACGATTTATTTCTATAATATACTTACAATTAAGAGCAACAGATTTAATAAGTTCTTCTCCAAATGGAGGAAACTCAGAGTGTTTAGCAAGTTGGTTCAGCTTTTGTGTAAGTACACTTCCATACTGCTCAAATTCTTCTTTTGTGTTAGGTACTGTGGTATCCAAGCTCAACACAGATTCTTCAGTCACACCTAAAATAGAAAAATGAATTAATAAAAGAATAAATATAAATATATAAATATTAATATATAATATTTATTATATTTTTTATAATATTTTGATTACAAATGTAATTAAAATAATGTAATACAATATATAAATATATTATTATATACAAAAAAATATTTGTATATAAATTTAATTACTCATAAAATAAAAATATAAAAATTGATTAATATTTAAAAAATGATATGAAAATAATACTTTTAAATAAATATATTCTCTAAAAAAGATTTATAAATTGAATTGTACAAATTTTTATATTATAATGAATAGAGATTTTTAAGTTTTTTAAAAAATTGAATATACATCATATCAATTATTAATATATAATTTATTATTGAAATTAAATATTTATCAGGAACGGTACAGGAAATCAATGTAGATAAATAAGACACGTCTGCATTATTTTTTCATGAAATAGAAATGTTTATTTTTTATACAATAACAATTTTGGATTTTCCTCAAAAATTATATTAATTGATTGAAATACATGATTTACACTTCTGGTACAGTTCCTGACATCAAGTTAATATTCTTAATTGAATTTAAATTAGAAAAAGTAAGATTTAAAAAAAATTAATAATTAATATGTAATTATTGCAATTGCAATAATAAACATGTATAATATTTATAATATATTTATAATATAAAACTTTGAATATGTCCCGAATTTTATTAATCTTTACAATAATAAGATTAAGATTAAATAATTATATACTCTAAGTATATATTCAAAATTTTTTATAATTACTTTATATACTAATATTAATTTATATAAAAAAATACTTAATATCATTCTTGTAAAAATGAAAAAACTGTTAGACAATTTATATTATGTGTATATAATTACTTTGTTAGATGGAATGTAAAAATTACATAGGAAATATTTTGATTTTGACAAATATACTGTATATAAATTTATGAAAATTAAAGCTTTAAAATAAAACAAAATTAATAAAAACTTTTATTAAGATATGAATGTATAATTAACTCTTTGCGTTCCAAATATTAAATATTTAATATTATAATATTTGATATTTATTTTTGAAGATTTCTTTTAAATTATGACAAAAATAAAATACATTTAAAAAATATAGAATTTATGAATTTATAGAAAAATATAGAATTAAGTTAAAAAATTTAAATTTAAATGTAATTTTTCAATTTAAAAAATATTAATTTCTATAAATAATTAATAGAATTAAATATTAAAATTAAAGATTCATTCATAAAAAAAATATTATTACAAATTTTGCAACTTGTATTTAAATTTTAAAAATAAAAATAAAAATATAATACTTATATTTAAATTTATAAACTAATATACTTTTCTATAATTTTGCTCTATGTTTCATTTTCATATAAAATTACAGAAAAGATAATAGATTTGCAATAGCAAAAATCAAACTTAAAAAATAAATTAATACACACTTTCTAATCTCTTGTAAGTAAAATACTAAATTTAATACTTTTATCAACTTATCACATATTGATGAAAAGTGACTATGTAGTTTCATAAATTATTCAAATGAAAATAGGAGTGCAAAGAGTTAATAAGTAGAAGTTTTTAGTGAAGTCATTTCTTCTCAGTTTTGTGCGGCTTGCGATGAGAAAAATCAACAAGGTTGGACAAACCGAAAGTTTCCATGGCAAGACGTAGATCAGCTTCTTCTTGGAGCCTTTGACGTCTTAATTGTTCTGCTCTCCTTTCCTCAGGTGTTAATGCTTCCTCTTTTTCTTTAGCTTTTCTCTCTGCCTCTGCTCTTGCCTTTTTCTATAATTAAAAAATTAATGATATTATATAAAATAAATCAAAATATGTCAGAATATAAATTCAAATAAAAAATTGAATAGATAACAAATTTGCATTTGTATATAAATAAAATACTAAAGAAAAAAATATTAATCAAATAATTTTATTAAATAAAATAATTTAATAAAAAGAAAAATTATACCTCACGTTCTTCAATTCTTTCTGCCAAAGCTTTCTTTGGCTTTGGCTTAGCTTTAGGCACTTCTGCAGGTTTTTCTACATCTTTCTTTTCTTCTTCAACATCTTCCCAACTATCCTGTTAATTGATTTTTTAAAATTATTGTATAAACATTTAATCCTTTTTAATATACTTAATATATTTTAATCTTATATATAATTCAATATATATCTTATATATTATATAATTTTATATTATTAAAATAATTTATTTTTAAATTATTTTATGATTTTAAATATTGCAATATAATTAAATTTTATTTCTTTATTTAAAATTAATAAATATATTATATGTATTTAAATATTATACAACTACATATATTTATGATGTTATTTTAAAATTAAAATAAATTTAATCAATTTTTCAATGTATAAAATTCAATTTACAATTATACGTAATATATTAATAATAAATAAATACTAATAATATATTAATAATAAATTAAAAACTAGTAATTATATATAGTAATTATAAAAAAATAACTACAATTGCATTTCACTCGTATTAATTATTAATCAATTTAGATTCGAAGACAATAACCAATCAACAATAATCAATTATCACGTTATTCGACTCACGTTGATTAGTTTTATGAAAGGTTAACCATACTTATGATTTGTCGTATTAATGACAAATTTCAAACAATTTATGTAAAATTAAAATGGAAGTCAGTAAGACAGAACCTTGACATCTTCGTCTTCGTCTTCACCCTCCCACTTGTTGGATCTAATAGCGAGGTCGAATTTCGCTTCAGCGTTTTCGACATCTGTAAAGTTGAAGGTTAAAGTGGTTTCATAGTTTCGAGAAAACATGGGGCCACTTAATAATTAAATGACGGAAAATTAATTTACACATACCCCACTCATCATCCATGATGTATTTTGGATTATTTGCGCACGATTTCGTTTATAAATGAAACAAAATCTTTTCGAACTAACGTGGTCGAACAGATCACGACTGGAATCAAGCGAGCCATACTGCGCGAGGAAAGCGTGTGCCTTTTTTGCAAGATAGTGGTGGTGAAACTCAAATTACATATGTTCAAGATTGGATACTCCATGTTCAAACAAATATTAAACATAGCAATTATTTAAAGTAAACAACTATTATTTTCTTAATTTTTATAATGAAAATAAATATTATAAAAATAATGAATATGTATAATAATAATCAAATAATTTTTAGCGAAAAAAGATTTACTTAAAAAAAGGAGATTACTATTGCTTATTTTTTTTTTTTGTAAAATAAAAAGTTCAATAATAAGGTTATATAAATTCTAAAACATGTAAAAACATAGAAATATATAGAAATTTATTTTTTATAATTATTTATTGAATTTATTACATTCATTCATTTATTTTATTCATTTTATTAAAAACTTAAATTTTATAAAATTAATATGTAATATTTATTGTTATTAAATATTGTTATATCTTATCAATATGATTTGTTTTAAAATTCAATTAAATTGATATATAGAACTAATAGTAAAATAAAATATTTTATATAATCATAAGATCTATTTTTTATGTAATTTGATTAAAATTTAATAAATAAATTAAAATTCTTGAATCTATATAAATTATTTGTGAATTACAATATTTAATAAGGTACATTTAATAAGAGATACATATAGTATAAGTTAGTTACAAATTTAAATAATTTTTTTTTTCTTTTAGGACGTTATTGAAACATTCTGTTAACTATTGTATATATATGATGTAAATATTTGTGCCGCAATATCTGTACAAGTTGGTTGTGCGAATTGTGCGAATTATGTGCGATTTAATACAATGAATAAATTATAAGTATAGAATATTATTGACTATGAATTTTTAAATAATTGTAATCATCACAAAAATATTGACATAAACAATATTTTATATGTTAATTTGAAATGTAAGATTAAAAAACATATAAATGTTTTATATATTTGAATATAATAAATTTCGTTGTTAATATAAAAATTTAAGTTCAATTTTGATTTTCTGATTAATTTTTTTAGTTTTGATTATGAATTTTTTTTAACATGAATCATTATATAAAATTTTATATCTTTTAATATTTTTATAAGTTATTTTGTAAATTAGTTTAATGATAAAAGAAAATATAAAAGACAAAATATAACATTTAAAATATTTTAAATATTAAGAAAATATTAATTAAAAAATGTATACTTAAAAATATATTTTTTTATTTTTTTTCTTTTTATTCTATTTTTTATAGAAAAATGAATGACTTTGAGGCTTATGTTACATGCCCATATAACAAATCACATCGAATTTTAAAGTCTCGATTTCAAATACACCTCACAAAATGTAGTAAACAATATGAAAAATATATTAAAGATACTAAAATTAATTGTGAATTTAATTCATCACATTTATTAGAACCAGAAGAATATGAGGTAAATTAAATTAAATATATTTTTAGTTAGATAGTTTTTCAATCATATAATTGAATTTCATATTTAAGAATTAAAAAGAATTAAAAACTTCTTTTTTTATTTGCAGCATCATCTTTCAATATGCCCATCTAGAGCAAATGTAATATGTGAACAATATATACTTGGGCAAGATGAGCAAGATGTTGGAATAATTTCATTAGAAGATGCATGTAATGTACAACCAAATATATCTAACGAAGACTGGTCTGGAAATAATCCAACATATAATCCAGTAAAACAAACAGAAGATAAAAATATAATTAGATTACCAATTGCTATGTCAAAATCAGAAAAAAAAGAATTTCGGCAACTTGAAAGAGATAGAATATTATTTCTTGAAAATAATAATAACATAAGCAATGATGATAGTAAAATAAGTATTATAAAACAGAAAACTGACTTTGATGAACCATTAAAAGCTCCTAAACAATTACCTAAGGCAATATTATGTAATCAAGATCTTACTAATTATCTTATTTCTAAACTAAATAAAGTTTCTATAGATATAGATAATAGTTATAGTTCTTCAAGAAAAGAGAATTTAATTTTAAAAAATATTTCTGATGATGAAGAAAAAGAAAATATTTCTAAAGAAGGAAATAATGTAGCTGCATCATTTCAAACATCATTTCAAAACATATCTAAGGTAAACAAAATTTCTGTAGAAATAGGTAGTAATTCTTCAAAAAAAGAAAATTTAATTTTGAAAAGTATTTTTGACGAAGAAGAAAAAAAAAATGTTTTTGAAGAAAAAAACAATGTAATTACATTATCTCAAAATATTTCTAAACTAAATAGAATTTCTATAGATATAGATAATAGTTTATTAAAAAAAGAAAATTTAATTTTGAAAAATATTTCTGACGAAGAAGAAAAAGAAAATGTTTCTGAAGAAGAAAGTAATATAGCTGTATCATCTCAAAATATTTCTAAGATTAAAAAAAACATTTTAGAAATGAAGACTGATTTTAAAACAAAGGTATGTATTTCTCAAAAAAATAATTCTGAAATGCAAACAAACTATGGAAAAAATAATAATCTTCAATTAAACTTGCATAAAGAAAATAAAATTGAATCTCAAAATAATATTCATTTAAAATCAAGAATAGCAGCAAATATTTTTACAGAAGGAATGAAAATTAGTACTGGAAGAGGATTCACTATAGCTTATAATTCTTTTTTGAATAAAATAAAATTGGAAGATAATGGAAATTCTCATGTCTATGGTTATGATGAAGATTAGAAAATACTTTAACAATGCTTACTTAACAATATGTAAGAATATCTTAACAATGTTAATTTTCTTATAATTTTTTTCCTATTCTATTTTTCCTTAAATCTTTCAAATATATACTTATATTTGAATCAATAACAAATAGTTAAAAAAGTTAATGAAACTACATATGTATAGTTTTCACAAATTTTTTTTTATAATTATTAAATAACAATATGTGATTTTTTTGTTTTTACATACTTGATTTGTTATTATATTGTTTTTATTATGTTTTTGTTAATGAATATGAATAAAAATATGATCAATAAAATAGGTTAAAAAATTGCATTTACTATAATAATATAAATTATTTTTTTTATAATGGCAAATCATTTCTAATGTTCAATAAATTTATTTATAATCATTATTATAAGTATGAAAAAAAATGTGAAGAAACCCACTCGAAATTCAATCCCAGAATTTTTGATCAGCAATCCAAACTTCTAAATTTGTCAGCAACATTGCGAAAGTATGACTATTAAAAAAATGAGAGAAACTTATAGCAGCACTAATGAAATTTAGGAAAAAAAGGAAAAAATAACGAATGTTCTATTTGTATTGTACACTTAGAGTAAGACCAAACAATATATAATAAAATATCCATTGTTTTTCGCAACTTGATTTCTAAGTTCCATTACTACTTCCATTCTTTTAATGACCAGATTTTACATCGTAATTTTGTTTGCCAACAAGAAAACAAAATGACAACAAAGAAACAAAATGTCGGCAATAATAAGAATTACATGTGATGAAAGATCCGCCGCAATGATAATTCGTTCGATGATATGCGTCGTTTATCCATTTTATTATTTTATACTTCATTATCAACCATTTTATCCTAATAATTTTCCTAATAAATTCCTTATCCTAATAATTTTGTTTTATTTTCAAAACTTTTTCTTGTTTGTTTTTCATCACTGCTTTTACATTCCTTACATTATAATTATTTAATTATAAATAATTATAAAAAAATAATTATTTGAAATAATAATTAAACATGTATATTTTTTAAATAAATTTGCATTAAAAAATATCTACGAATATTCTACGAATTATTCATATAATATTAAATAGTTGATATAGAATAAAATTAAAATTGCCCATTATATATATAAATTGTTCATAATAATATATATAAATAGTAATATTATATAATATCATAATAATATTATGAATTATGATACTTATAAAAATAAATAAAAAATAAATAATAATATTTTTTTAAATAAGATTTTTAATAAGATTTCATTTGAATAATTTTAAATATACAAAATATGACTTCATTTAATTTCGAAATTAATAAATCAAATCAATATTGATATTCATTATTAATAATAATGATACTAATAACTGAAATCGATATATATTTAAATAATATAAAAAATAATTTCTTTTCTTAGCATATACTACTAGTTATTACTGCTATTTTTTATTTATTTTGTTTATGTTTATTTAATAAAAATATATTAGAATAGTACATAAAAAGAATATTTTAAATTATAATATAATTATAATTGGAATTTACATAATAGCATAGAAATATATATAGCATAGAAATATATATATTTTAATATTTCAAAATCAATGTTAAAGAATAAAAAAATATGATGGTATAAGTAGAAAATGCAAAAAAATTATTTAAAAAAAATAAAATTTTTCTACACAATCCCTATATAATAAAATTCATCAATAATACAATTATAGTTAATAGGATTGACATTATTGCAATTTATTATTATTACAGTGAATATCGATTGCGAAACTTTTTTAAAAATTTTAATTTATATGAATTTTAATATCAAACTTTTTATTATTCATATTTAAATTTTGCGCTATTTTAATTATTGAGAAAATTGGACAAATTGATCGCAATAGCTTCTTATAAAAAAAATTATAATATATTTATACTATTCATACTAACAATTCATATTTTTATAATTAAAGCTTTATTTAAATGGCATAGTTTATAATTGAAAAAAATGATTATATATGAAATAATTGAAAATAATGATTAATTTTAAGTTTAAATTCTTTAACATTTTAAATGAATGAAATAATTTTAAATAAATAGATTTAATCTTAAACAATGAATATAATTAAATTTATAATTAAATTTTACAATTTTACAATTTTATCAATTGTTTTCATCAATTCAATCAATTGTTAAGAATATAAATTCAATATATTTAAATTAAAAATACTGTTTAATATCAATATTTAATATTCCATTAAATTAATTATTAGTATTTAATATTAATAAAATTAATAGTATTTGATGGTATATAATAATTTATAAATCTTGAAAATAAATGTCTTATAATAGAACATACCTATGTTAACGTAAAAAATTTGTGCAGTTTTGGAACAAACCATTTATGTATTCGTCTAGTGTATTCAGAAATCTTTCAAAAAATAGTCTTATACAAATCACTTTTAATTGCTAGTCATTTTTTCAATTTTATCTGTTATAGCATTATTATTGCTACAATAAAGATTTTTCATAATGGTAAATATAAATAATTAATTTAATAATTAATTCAATATTACTATTATGGATATCATTTATTTTTTAATTATTTTTTTATTAAAATTACAATTGAAAAATTGCATAAATTGCATTGTCATTCATTAATAATTAATTCTTTAAATAATAATAATAAAGTAGCATTATATATTAAATTAATTATATATACGCAGATTTATTTAATATTATTAATTTATAGTTTTTTTATCTAATTTATAGTTAAATAAATATAATAAGAATTTATATATTATATATATATTAATTGCATTATGCGAATTTAATCATTATTCTTTGTATAAGAAATGAATAGTTATTATTTTAAATTAATGAATTTTATTTTATTTACATCATAATTAGAAAAAATTATTTTTTTTCATATTATTTTTATATTGAATTGACGATATAAATTTTTATAATGTTTAAAAATATATTGATAAAATTAAGTTTAATAAAAATCTATATAAATCTAAATAACTCATATTATATATAAATAAACTATATAACTGTAAAATATATTAATATTGAGTGTTTTATTTCAATAATAAAAATTATAAATTATAATTACATAAATATTGTATCTTAATGTTAGTATAAAAATTATAATTAGAAAGAAATTAGTGTGATAAGTATTAGAAAAAAATTAGAATACAATATTAAAAAATAATATTAATATATTTAATATATATTTGATGTGGTTTTTTGCTAACAGGCACGTAGATATGATACACGCACAACAATATTTTCTCCTGAAGGTCGTCTTTATCAAGTAGAATATGCAATGGAAGCTATAAGTCATGCAGGTACTTGTCTTGGTATTTTAGCAACTAATGGTATTCTACTTGTAGCAGAAAGACGCAATATAAATAAATTATTGGATGAAGTATATTATTCTGAAAAAATTTATAAACTCAATGATGATATTGTTTGTTCTGTTGCTGGTATTACTTCTGATGCTAATGTATTAACAAATGAATTACGTTTAATTGCACAACGTTATTTATTACAATATGGAGAACCAATTCCTTGTGAACAACTTGTTTCTTGGCTTTGTGATGTAAAACAAGCATATACACAATATGGTGGAAAGAGACCTTTTGGTGTTTCTATTCTATATATGGGATGGGATAAACATTATGGATATCAGTTGTATCAGTCAGATCCTAGTGGAAATTATGGAGGTTGGAAAGCAACTTGTATTGGACATAATTCTGCTGCTGCAGTATCATCATTAAAGCAGGAATATGATAATAATAATATTACTTTAGAAGAAGCTAAAGCATTGGCTATAAAAGTGCTTTCTAAAACTTTAGATCTTAATAAATTATCTGGAGATAAAGGTAAGAATATAAAATTTAAATATAATTTTATTTAAATAAAATTATAATTAATTTCAATTAAAAGAGAAATATAGCAAAAAAATATTTTATTTATAATTCTTTAATTATATTGTTTTCCATTTCAGTGGAAATGGTTACTTTAACAAGAGAAAATGGTAAAACTATTACAAGAATTCTTCCTATGAGTGAAGTAGATGCTTTGATTGCAGAACATGATCGATTAGAAGCACTTGCTGAACAAGCCAAAAAAGAAAAGCAGAAGTTATGAAAAGAAAAATATATGTATATTTTGCATTTTTCTTATATTTATAATATTTTCATAAAATTCTATCAATTTTCTTATATGTAACATTATATGTAACATTCAATTCTTCAATGGAACATAAAAACAATATCTATGTTCTTTTGTATACAATTCTATGTTGAAGAAAAATTATAAAATGTGAATATAAGAAAAAAATAAAAGTAAATAAATTTCCTATATGTTTCTAGAATTAAATCCTTTTATACAAATATATAATTCATTAATTCATTATAATATTCTTTATTAAATATCATGGAATAACTGAATTATATTATTTTTGTATTATCATAATTAAATTTCTGATTAAGAAAAAAAAGAAAATTTGAAGAATTATTTAATTAATTTTATAAGAATAACATAATATTTAAAATAAGATTAGTTTTAATAGTTTTAATACAAAATATTTATTAAGATCATAAATATTTTTTATTTTTAAATATTTTCAGTGGAATCATAATATTAAATAATAATAAATTATAAAAAAAATATTTACGTTTTTTACATTCATTAATATTTAAATTTGAATATCTTTCATAACTTCAAAACTTCTTTCTCTTAAATAATAGATAATAAAAATATAAAGAAATAAAACACTTTATAATAATTATAGAAGAGATTATTATGTGACAAATAACAAATTAATATTTTTTATTCAATGAAACCAAAAAATTATAAACAAACTTCTTTAAATTATTTAAAATACATATAATAAAATATTATTTATATTATATTATATTATTAACATTATTTATATAATTTTAATAAATGATTTTTATTAAAGTTTTATTTTATAATTTTTTATGATATATCATATATAATACATAAAATTATTTTTAAAATATATATATAATAAATTAATTTTGGGATAAATTTATATAATTTTATAATATTATATATAATAAGAAGTTCTTTTATATTAAAAATACAAAAATAATTTGATATTGTTGTATTAAATATGTTAAATATAAAAAATATAATTTACTATAACATTATTCTAAGATGTTATTTTTTATATCATTTATTTATTTTTTTAATTATTTTATATATAGATAATATGTTGAGGTATGTTAAAGTATAATTATAATGTTAAAGTATAATTATGTCATAAAAGATAAGTTAAAATATAAAATAAATATTAATAATATCAATTTGTCAATAATAAAACAGAAAAGCATAAGTTTAAGTATAAACTTAAAGTTATTTCCAATTGAAGATTTCATAAAGTGTTGTAATATTTACATTTAATATTGATGAAATATTTATAATAAAGAAAATGCATTTTAAAATAATAAATATGAAAAAAATAAAAAATTTATATAGTAATAGATTTGTATTACATTTTAATTCATGTAATTGAAAAGAAATTTTATAATAAAATTGTAATAAATAGATATAAAAATAAATGTACAATATCACTTAATGTAGAATAATGTAAAAAATATTGAAAATATTAAAAAAAAGTTATGAGTCGAGTCATATTGACCAGGCTGTCACTGCGGTCCCACTCCCGGGCGCGATCCCACTACTGCCCGCCACGGAGACTTTTGGCTGCTGGGTGTCCCCCTCTGGCCCGGTTCGCCTCTCCCTAGCCAACCTGGCCATCCCGGATTCCTCCAGGATGCCCATATTGATGGCGAGCTTAGCGCGGACACCCAGTCGACGTGAGTCCCGCACCAACAGGAACCCCCGCTCTCAGACCCTCCGTCATAACTAGCCTCCGAGTAGCCGGATTACAGGAGCCGCCACGCTCCCAGCTGAAATACATATGTACTATTTATCTATTTAAAGTATATTTTTAATAAATTTAAAAAAAAGAATGTTAAAGTAAAATTTTTATAATATTAGATATTTTATAAACATGATTTTAAATAATAATTTAAATGATAATTTAGATTTTCAGTGCAACTTAAATGTAAACTTTTAAAAAAATATAGCAAATATTATACATATATAAATATATAGTATGAAAGATGTTAAAGAGATGTGTATGCTTTCAAAAATAGTATCATACATTGATAAAGAAGACTTAGTCAATATCATCTGTAGTAAATAATACCGACAAAAAGCATAGATATAAGCATAAATATAAAATTTTCATAGCATAAATAAGATAGAACTTTTTGCATTTTATTATAGATTAAATATAAGAACATATATGTTTTATTATATAAGAACATATATGAGTTTTTTATCTCATGTTCTGAAATAACAATTGTGTAAAAAATAAAAATGTTTGGCATGCCCTCTACAATTAAGAATAATAAGTATAGGAATATTCTATCTAACCATCAAAGTTGGTAAAGAAAACAGAAATAAAAATATAATTAAGTATTACTTATTTTATGTTATATTTATGTAATTATTATATATTTGTATTATATTTTTATCTATTAATTAAAAAAAAAATTTATGTTTTTTTTTATTATAGAATAAAAACATGATTTCTATAAAATATTAATTATGAAAATATCAATTTTTTCAAATTTATTTTAAAAAAATTTATCTAAATACAATCTTATTAAAATAAAGTAAAATTATTTTTATTTATATAAAAAATAGTAATTATCTAATTATAACAGAAAAAAATTTCATAATTATTTAAAAGATTTTTTCGTAATATCGATTTCAATGATTTTGGAATATAAATTGAATTTATTGAAAATTGAATTTATTGAATTGACAATTATACGCATAGGATAAAATTATTCAAAACTTAATTATTTTGAATAATTTTTTTTTTTGGAAATATTTATAAAAAAAAATTATAAATATGCTACTATTCTATAGAATTTCATCTATACATATATGTTTTTGATACATCAACATATGATCTTCACTTATTAATTATTTATAAACATATTATATAACAATTATTAAATGTAAGAGCTATTATAACATTAGGTGCACATATGGCACTGATCCGCTCTTTGAAATAAAAAAATGATATCATGAAAACAATAAAAATATAATTCTTTTCGGACGTTCGATGTGCTTGGATCTCGTAGAATTGTAATTATCATAATATTTATTATTAACTATAATTAACTTATATAAATACATTTATATAAATAAATATAAATATATTTATATAATTCACATAAATTATCATTTTTCCTTAGTTTAGTTTTTTCATTTTAATTTTTCCTTGTATAATTGTATAAATATTTATTAAATTATATTTTCAAATATGAGATTTTTATAAAATGTCATTGTGTTATTTGTTTAATTCTAATCTTTAATTAAATATCTAAAATTTTTTTAAAAAATTATTTTTAAGATATATAATTATTTTATACACATGTACATACATTATATATATATATATATATATATATATATATCAATAATGCATTTATTAATTATTATTTTAGTAATTAGTTATTAAGTCCATTGAACTGAACAGTTCACTATTCTTATTCAATAGAGACACCATTTTGGAATAGAAAGATTATTTTGGAATCAATTGTATAAAATTATTTAAATATAATTAATTCAAAGAAAAATTGAATTTTTATAATTTTGATCTTTCTTTTATAAAAATATCATCATATTCTTGTGTTTTTGTGAAAATAAACACAATAATTAAAATATTTTTAAATTAAAATATATTACAATAATTACATTATATCATAAATTGTAATCCGTATATCGTTCATTTTTATTTCTTATGATTTTGTATTATTCTTTTTTTATCATTATTATTTATTCTTATTTAATTGTATATTTTCTTTTCTTGTCATCGTCAATACAAAAATCCATAAAATTTTGAAAGCGAAAATGCTGAGTAAAGTTATGAGATTCAATTACTTCATCGATAAAGAATCACATATCATTTTTATAATTGGCCTGAACTTCTGTTTATATAAACATTATTATGTATATATATTTCTAAAAAATTTTCAATATAATATTAAAATATTTTAAAATGAATCTATTCAGTTGGACATATAATTTGTTAATATTTAATGTAATATTATAAATTTCGAAAATAGAAAATATAATTTTTTTTCGAAACATATAAATTACACATATCGTCTAGGGATATATTATATTTATACTCCATATTGTTGTTTTACATCCATTTTAAAAATATACATCATAATCTTAAAAAATCTTATATTCATTTTTATGAAATTTTAATCAAATTTTAATAAATAAGAAACAATGGATTTAATAATATAATTATAATAAATTTTTATTTTATATTATTTATAAATTATTAATATAAATTGCATAATATTCATTATTATTAATTTAAACAAAACATTTTTATAAATAATATTAATTAATACAAATTAATTTACAAATAAGTTCAAGATTTAAAGAGCTTTTATATAACATATATTGATCGATTGCGCATTCCTATTAAATGTTTTAATTTATGTTTTAATTTATAATCATGTTATAATGTAAATTATACTTTACATTTAATATGTATATATAAATGATTTAAATCTATGAAGAAACCACATATGATGATAAATTATTATTTTATAGTATTCTATTTATGTTTAAAAATTTAAAAAATAATATATATAATATATATTATATATATCTTTTTTAAAATTTACAAAATTGATTTTATAAAATTTATTTGATCAAAATTGCAAAATTAATAAGATCAAAATTGCAAAGTTAATAAGATAAAACATAGTATAAAAATGTATAAAAATGTATAAAAATTTTAATATATTAATTTAATATATTTTATATATCATAAATTTCAATTATTTAAAATAATTAATTAAATATTTAAATATTTATTCAAATATTAAATATTTTATTCAAAAAAAATATAAAAAAAACGTACTTTTTAGTAAAAATTAATAAAAATAAGTTTTTATCTCAATAGATATATATATCTTTAATCCTTTTGTATATGATAAAGAAAGATAATCACATTCATTGAATTAATATTTTCAAAAATAGAAACTTATTTTTGCATTTATGATATATTAATCAAAATAAATGCAAAAAAAAGAAAATTAAAAACAATATTTTTTATGTAAAATTATCGTTCTAATTAAATACAATTAGGGAATTAAGTGCTTTATAATAATTTCTGTAATTGAGTGTTTTATAAGATATATATATTTTATATAATATAATACGAAATATTATAGATTTAAATATAGTTTTAATTTTAATTATAATGATTGTCGCAAACTTAGTTGGCT